GCCAAAGAAGATAAGAACTGACAATTGGTAAAACATACTGATTGACATACTTATTATAAAGAGAAATTTGGTAAAAATAGGTAACAAAACGACCCATCGTTTTTTTTACAAAAGCGGGGTGGTTCTAGTGTGGGACCACCCCACATACTACTTTACAAAAAATGTTCTTATAAAGCGGCAATTGATTTTTTGTAAAGTAGTATAAATAACAAAAACTTAAAATCACTTCTGACCCGTGCTAAAAAGGCTACGGAAAATTATTTCTGGCGGGAGCGGTTGTTCTTTCAGTAGTGTTTTTTGTTTCCGTTTGATAATTATCAAAAGCGGAGAAAAGTTGCGGACTTATCGAATTTATTTAATGGCAAGTAAAATTATTTTTTTGAATGGTTGCTCTTCAGCCGGCAAAACTTCGCTGGTTAAGGTTATTCAGCATTTAGGAGAAGAGCCATGGCTATCTTTTGGTGTTGATTCTCTTTCAGCAGCTATTACCAACCAAGTATTTTGGTGATTCTCCAGGGGGCATGAAAGCCACTGAGGGCGTCAAGTTTATATCGGATATTGATAAAGAGGGCTTTCCTGTTTTGCGAGTTGAAACTGGTCCTTACATGAAAAGATTTTTTCAGACCGTCCCAAAATAATTAAGCAATGAGCCGACGACAGGCATAATCTAGTTATTGATGAAGTAATCAAGGAAAGAAGAGTGTTGGAAAATTGAGCCAAAACCTTGAAAAGTCATCAAGTTTGCTTTGTGAGTATGTTTTGCGAATTGTTCCTGCTAGGTTAAATAATAGCCAAGGATTATACTAAAACGAAATAAATATGTTATATAATGTATTAAAAATTATATATTATTATGTTAACATAAAAAAAAAGTTAATCATAATAAAGGCTTTATGCCGAGAGGTCGGTCATCCTCTGACCTGCCTAAATTTAATTTGAGTATTGTAATATAATAATATGACACCAATCACAAAAAAAAAAAAAAAAAAAAACAATAAGTATTCGTTGTGGAAATATATAAGACGAGTAAAATCAACAAGTACCGGGCGTTTTTGTGCTTTAAGTAGAATTTAAACAAAAGCAGAACATTAAAATTTAAATCTTAAAAAAATCAATATTAAAAAAGTATCAAAAATATGAACCGAAATAATAATTTTAAAACCATAGACGAGAAAAAACGAGAGTTTGACAAATTCAGAGCTGAATGAGAAAAAATGGAAGAGCAAGAAAAAAAGTTGAAAGAAAAATTTTACAGCAGCCCGTTTGCGGAAAGGGCCAAGATTAAAAGGGAGTTAACCGTTCTCCAAGAAAAAATGTTCGATAAAAAATGAAGTTGTGGGAAAAGCATGAGTATTGACATTAAAAATGAAGAAATGATTCAACGATTAGAAAATTCGACTGGTCCAGCCACCGACCCCCACCATTTAGCCGAACTGATTAAAAAAGAGTTAAGAGAAGTTTTGGACGGAAGCCGAAAATTTAGAGACGAAGACAGAGTTGGGGATATTTGGGAAGCCAATCAGAGCAGAGAAATCTGTTATTTTGGTCAAAAAAAAGAAGTCAACGAATTAATTGCTAATTTGGCTCGTAATCGCCAAGAGCCTCTGGACCGTGATAAAATTACCACTCGAATGGTTAGAGTCAAGCAAGAGGATTTTTCCTCGACCGATTTTGAGGAAATGATTAGTTTAGTTCGTCAAATGCAGAACTTTTTAGAGGAAAAAGATAAGCAAGAGCTCCAGAGAACTGAAAATATAAAATTGAATAATCCTCATTTGTTCACCCAGTGAAAGTGTTCGACTGATGGCAAATATAACGGTCGTGGGAAGTGAGAAAATTGACATACTTTTAGCGGAAAACGCAACGGGCATAATTATACAATTTACGTTCCGGATAATCATGTAGCCTTGACTAATTGTCTCTTTGATAACGGCTGAGGCACCAATTCGGAAGTAGGTAAATTTTTTGTGGTCAAGGGA